TAACTTACACAACACATACCCTATTAGATAGGCACGCAGGGCCGACGAGAGGGGACGTAGGGGAAGGGGCAGCGGCACAAGGGGGCCCGGCAGCTTTAGGTGAGGACGTGTTTTATTGTTTTAGAAGTTCGCCACAAAAGGGAAGACCTGGTTAACGAAAAATACAAGATGCGAGGACCTTTTTCTTTTTAGATTTCACTAAAAAAGGATCTGATATTCGTTTGGCGAAATCCACGGTTATCGTTTGTCCTGCAGTAATAGTATATTATAAAAAGGAAGACAGATCTACTTTTAATGTGCAACGTACATAATGTTAATATGATACAAGTAAAATGAACCAATATTTTGTGCATTTTTATATACCAAAATTATGCAATTTATTTCCACTTTAATTTCATGTTACATGAGTTGTCATAGTAGATACATTACATGCGTTTGTGCTGGGGTAAATGAGTGTTCATGTGAAAATTATCTCTGAAACTGCATTGTGACTGCATTTCTCTCATCAATCTCAAAACTGGATGCTGTAAATCCAGGATTTAAATCTTTCATGCCCAGACAGCACCAATGAACTGGAGTGGGGTAGAAAGCCAATGGGCATATTGTATCAATAGAACAAGATGTAACTCTATGGGCGCAGCCATTTTTATAGCTCATCATAAAAAAGAAGCTAGGTTGCAGTTCATATTTATCTTCTAAAATGTATAATATACTTCCCACTGAAATCATTAAACCAAAAAGCTTAAATTAATTTACAAAATCGTTAAGTTCTTGGATATTGAGTCAGCCTAGGTAAATAGTGCATGCCATTATATTATATATATTATAAATGAATGTATATCGATTATTCAAACTTTTTCTAAAATTCTAAATAAGGCTTTACCCAGGCAACACACATTAGTATAACTAACGTATTTTATACGTAATACTCGTTTAATTTTGGGGTTGATTCCGTATACGTTTACAATTTACGATTATTATACATACCGTGTTTTAAACGATATATTATACGTTTTTTGTATACATCATATGGTATATAATTGTAAATTTTTCTACGTTTAAATATAGTTAACAATATACGACTATTTTTAGTTTGCGATGAACTATTTATATACAGTGGGCCTAAATATACGTTTAGGTTTATTTAAATTAAATTCGTATAAATTTACATTATATTACAATGTTTTCTTCGTTTATAATTCTCGTTTAAATTTCGTCTTGGTTGATTTTTTAAACGTTTACCATCTACCATTTTTATACTTAACGTTTTTTAACAGATAAATTAAACGCTTTCGTTTGTCGATACTAGTTAATATACCTATATTATTCTACGTTTAAATATAAGTCACCTTAAACGCATAATACCAGTTTACGATGAATTAGTAGACAGAAGTAAATAATATGTATATATTTAGGTTTATTTAAATTAAAAGCTTATAGATATATTTATTTACATTATATCCATATTTTTTAAATTATATTACCTGTAATATTTATAATAAATTCCCCATATACATGGAACTATTTTTAGATGGCGGATGGAGGATGACGTACTAGTGGTACGGTCTTTTCTCATTTCTACTCATGCGTATGTGTAGTATTATTGTTCAGTGTAGGGAATGGTTTGTGGGAGCAGGTTCATCGGTTCGTCCATTATCATTTGTGTACACGTTTTGTTGTATGTTGCTTTGGCGTCCTGGCTTTTACGATATTGATTAAAAGCATAGGTAAGTTTCTATTAATGTTTTAATTTAGCTACTCCTTTAATAATTGTTGTATTTTACAACAACTACTGTTTTATAGGTACGTACAGTGTGTTAAATGCTTATAGAAACTTCAAAACATAACTTTACTTTTGTTTCTTTTATTTTTATACGTATTATTTAGGTTACCTAGTTATTCCAAGCATACTTATTTTCCTTTTTTTTTGGTCAGTTGGTTTTTATTTAATAAAATGTCTAAAAGTAACCCTGTCTCTGCGTCATCTACGTAGAAAAATAGTGCAAAATGTTTAAGATGCTTTAAAGTCAAATCAATTTTTTTTTATTTCCAATGAAGATAACATTAATAAGGCTTCGGACATTAATATATCATCTGATTCTATTATTTATAATAATTTCCAAGAAAATAATACAAAATTAACTTTGGAGCTTTTAGAAAATACTTCACCTGAAATTATATGGTTATAGGAATGGGGGTGAACCAAACGACTTAACCGACCGAACGATTAGGTGTGCCATGCAAGATTAGCTTAAGTTAGCTAAGGCCCGTCTAGGACACAACACATCCAAAGTGTTAAGCTTAGATTTTTATTTTCATGTATATTTTTTGTTAGTTAAAGAAAAATTTCGTTTAGTTTGTTATTCAGTATTTTAGTGTTTATTTTTTTGTATTTATTTATTTTTTAGTATTTTATTGTTTATTTTTTTTTAATTAAATATTGTTCTGTACATATAACAAGTGAAAAAATGTTTCTAAATATTTAGGCCAATTACAACCAAAATAGAAACACGAGTAATGCCTATTTCTGTTGTATACACACCTGCTATGGATAAAATCCAAACTATCATTTAAGAAATATTAACATTTTTCCATGGCCTCTTTTAGAAATTTTGTTTTGATCACTTTATTTAATTTGTTTTCAGGTAGCATTTTACGCATTTTACACATTAATAAAAAACATACAAATATATCTAATACAGACGTATAGTAAAACAGGATAATTAAAGGTAGATAAAGTAGTAATGTTAGACGTATAAAAAATAAAAAAAATACGTTAATAGGGCGGACATTTTCACGTTTATATTGGGTAGCATATCAACAGTATCCATACGTATATTGTAGTACATAAAAGAACGTATTTTATACCAAAGTAAATTCGTATAAATATACTACAACTATAAATCTAATATAGACGTATAGTAAAAACGTTTAATTATAGGTGGATAAATTCTTAGTAATCGACGTTTATAAGGCGGACATTTTCACGAATATATTTGGTAGTACATCAACCGTATTCATACGTATGGTAGTACCTAAAAAAAATACGTAATTTATACCAAAGTGTGCTGCCTGGGTAGTTACCAATCATGACTTTATTCTGATATAGACAAAACATTAATCAATAATTAGGAAATAATATAACCACACACAAGTAAACTTAGGCTAAGCTTACTTCAGTGGTTTCTTGCTCTTGTTTATTAGTGCCATTTATGTATTTATTTCACATTGTTATTGTCCAGTCCACAAGCTGGTGGATCAGACAATTACAACATCGGCCCTAGGAACAATATATATGCTGCTATTGTTCTAAGTATTTAGGATCCTATAAAATAAATTAACATTGACAAAATTGGGATTCAACTTTATATCTAACATTGAAACTATAAAAAAAAACAAATTTTCTTTTCTAGTAAGTTAAATTTAATGTATAATTATTGTTGTTTGTAAGTCAGAATCTATGACTGCAAATTTTTATTTCATGGAAACTTGTAATTAAATAAACTACACTCTGTGATACGTGTTGTGACTAGTTTACAATAAATATTATATTTAGACATACATTAGAAGCTCTAAAAAGACATTGAATTGATTTATCCTTGTGTTTTCTTTAGTTTTACATCTGATTTGTATCCCGTTTTACAATCTGGAACGAAGTGAATCTTGCTTTGTTTTTGTCCCTCATGTTACTTGTACTCAGATACTTTTTTTCACCATTTTTTTAAGAAATCACTTCATTTTACATTGACTTATATAGAAAATAAACGACAGTGACGTTCAACCTGCCAACTACAGTCAATTTAGCGAACTTTATAAAAAGGGCAGAAAGTTAAAATTTGATCATTGCCAATTTGCCTCTAGTCTTTATAGTTGAAAATTATTTTTTATTTTTGCTCTCCTTATAGATTTAATTCAATACCTGTCGAGATATTAGCCAGTAGATTTGTTTTCTGTATAGAGATTTCTTTGTTATTTAAACCATTCTGTTGTATTACATCCAATAAATTTATTTACTTAAATAGTTGCGACGAAATAAAAGAAAATGAAGTTTGTCAACTCGTTTATAAAAAGGTATAAATATAAAAAAGGTGTAAAATAAAACTCATGCTAGAAACAAAATAATATATTCGGCTCATAATAATAATAATAATTATAAACAAAGTTAATAAAGATTTTTCTTAATAATTAATTCTCCATGATTAATGTAATCAGTTTTATCACAGACAAAATCAATAGAAATGCCATATCACTATATTTTACATGAAATATAAAAGTAATACTCAAATAATTACTGTTTACAACAAAAATCTTGTCGAATACTATCATTGCCAAAATTTCTATCTTCAACTACAAAAATAATTATCAATTGAGTTAAATAAAATAAGCAGCAGATATACTAGTATGAAACCAAAATTATAAAAAATTAGAAGATATAAAAAATAAATAGAAAAAGTGAGCAAGGATTCGTTCTCTTGTACGGCCCCCTCCACTTTTTTACAACCCAGCTTATGCGCTAAAGTTAAAATTTATCGATTTGAACAAGTGTCGTTCAGTCTTCCGTCAGACTATTTGGTTTATATAGTCGGACGGAAGACTGAACGACAAATTGACATTTGAGTTGTTTTATTCAGTCGGACGGAAAACGAAACAGCAATTTATACTAGAATAACATGGAGGTTAAAAAAAGCAATAAACAGGTAATACAGTGTCATCAAAGCCAAGCATGAGGACATGCAACCATAAATTGTTGCCATGATGTTTAAAAGGTGCAGATCATATAACAAAAACGTGCTTGAAACTAGACACACTTGTAACGTGTGCAAATTGCGGAGGGACCACCCCGAAAATTATTCAAAGTGTAAGACATACACAGACAGAATGGCTGAGAGAAGGCAAAAAATACCTGAAAAGAAATATATACCAGCCCTAATTGCAAAAATAAACAACTCACCCATCTCATGGCTGAGAGAAGCCAAAAAATGCCTGAAAAGAAATATATACCAGCCCTAATTGCAAAAATAAATAACTCACCCATCTCATGACTGAGCAGGACAGCTCTGGGCTATTGTTACCTAAATAAATACTGACGACAACGGGAAGAGAATTACCTGTAGATAAATATTTTGAAAATTGAATAAAGACGTATTTAATAATTGGCCAATTACGAGAGCAGAAGCTGAATTAAAAACTTAACTGCATAAACATATAAAAAAAGATTAAGTAAATTTTTTAGTTGCTGCAAAGCCAGATTTAACTACAAAATATCTAAATTAAACTCATAATCATAAATAAAAAAAAAACTACATTTCTGTTCATTAAGCATTACTTTTCTACCAATACATACTCGGCGTTAAATTAAATATAATATTCCTTCGCTAATATCATGAATTGGCACCTCTATGATCCAGCCATCAACGCTATAAATCTATCGAAAATCGTTTTATCGAGAATATCACTCAAAACCAACAACGTGCGCCAACCATTTGCGATACTTGGCCAATTGTAGTACGCTATAATTCTGGGAAGCGAAATTTTTCTCGCAATTCGACACGATCCCATACAGATTGTATATTTCGCTTTTGCTCGGCGACACTTTGAACAACTTAGGCCATCTGTCGGACTCGCAGTCACTTTTTACGTTGATGACGGCATCGGATTCCGTTATGTTTTTGCCGTCGATCACGTGCAAGCCCTTATCTTGATCGAGTTTCGTTTTAAATTCGATGCCGTGATAGTCGCAAGGGACTTTAAGGAGGTGGTACGCGAGAAACTTTCTGTGAGAGAATAGTGCTTCATGTTCAGGAAATACTTTGTTCAGTTTGTCGACGAGGACGACGAAATCGTACAGCAGGATGGAGATGTAGTTTACGTAGGAGCACGTTTCTTCTAACAACCTAAAAACAGTGTTATTCAATACTTCAAGTAGGTTTTCATAACAATAGGTACTAGCCAACGTGGGGCACTGAAAACTTTGAACAAAAAAAAATAGAAATTTAAATTAGTAAGACTTTTTTATGTTTATATTGAATTGAACTGTCGGTTTGGATGTAAATTGTTTGTATTGTATGATAGTAAGTAAATCATTAGCTGTGTTTGGTGTATGCATTGAATGTGTATGTCCTGGGGAGGTAAAATTTAGCAATGGAGCATAAAATATAAATATCATCGAATTTAAATAGTAATAAAATAGCATTATATTAAATATTTTTATATATTGATACGACAGTGACATAGTGGCAATAATTGTAGTAACAGAGTAAATGGATTTAAATGGGGGAAAGGTTGGGTTGATGAAAGAACGTAGCATAGGACATGGAGACAGATGTACTGGATAAGCAAAATTTAAAAGACGCAGTTATAGAAGAATACCAAGAGGAAGAAAGATTGGAACAGATAATACCATTGAATGATATCTTACAAATGTTAATGGAAAAAATTCGAAGAATGGAAGAAAAGTGAAGAATGGAAGAAAAGTGAAGAATGGAAGAGAGGAAAATAAATGAAAACAGTAAGGAAATTAATGAAAATATAAAAGAAAAACAAAGAATCATTGAATAACAAAATTAACAGATCATAAAGGAGAAAAGATTAAACAGAATAAGGAAGCAATGGGCAACATGAAGGACAATATAAAAGAAGAAATCCAAGAGATAACAAAAAATTAGATAGAAAAATGGAATAAATTACAGATAATGCCATTAAAAAAACAAAGGAAATAAAAGAAGATGAAGACATTGAAATAAAGATAGACGAAGTACTATGAATAAAGTAAAAATGAAATATACAAGACAAAAAGTAAAGGTAGACATAGAAAAGATAAACATAGGAATTGAAAATAAAGAAGTTAATGAAGAAAGACTGATTCAAAATATAGAAAAAGAAATAGGAAAAAATAAAATAAAAGAAAAACGAAAATTGCAGAATTAAAAAAGAAAATAGTAAAGAAAATTAAGAAAAATAGAATTCAAATTATAGAGAAAAATTAAAGACCAGATAAAGTAAAAAACAAATTCCAAGAAGAAAATACATATATGTCTAACAAATAAAAAAATATATATTCAGGTGAGATTAAAACACACATAAATAAAAATAAAAGTAACATTAGAATTAAATTAAAATAGGTACAGAAGGACAATAAAAACAAAAATTAAAACAAATGCAAACTGAGTAAGGAATAGGAATGTTTGAAAATAATTAAAAATCGGAGGTTGACAGAAAAAGAAAGAGTAAAGACAATAATTGAATAATACAGTTAAAGTTTAAGATGTAAGATAAAGGTAAAAAGATATCTAAGATGAAATGAGTTAATGTAGGATAAATTCAAAACGACACCTGGTATAGTAAAGACAACAGAGTATTGTAAGATTATGTAGATAATAAAGATTTTATGTGTATAAGAAAAATAATAGAGAGAGGAAATGTTTGTATAAAAGTAAAACTATAAAGAATGTGAATAGTTAATGGTTTAAGATAAAGGTAGATATGTTATTTGTGTGATGAAATAATAAATAATGTGGTACAGTAAATAAATGTGGACGATAAATAATAATATGATACAATGATGTATAATATTAAATTAAACTCGGCATATTAAATAAGAAAAAATGTGGTATAATAAATAATAAAAATGTAGACTTATATAAATAGTATCAGAAAAAGAAGATGAAAAGTATTTCAAATGGCAAGAAACTTTTAAAAAGGCAATGTATAGAATATTTAAAATTAAAAAAAAAAGATGAATGAAAAATGATATGCACAAAATAAATAAGAAAAATAACAAAGTAAAACACAAATTAAACAGAAGTTAATATAAGAGGGGATTCCGCCGTGTTAATTCAAATGGCTGTAACTAAAATTTTTCTATCTCTATGACTTTCATTAACGTATTTTCTATAAAACCCAAGATGTTAAGCTTAGAAATTTGGGGGTAAGTGATTTTTCTTGACACTTATTAAATGGCAACTACAAATGTGAGTGTTAAAAGCCGTAACTGCAAAGCTGTTCATAGATGCGGCTTTTTCACCTAATTTTGATTTAGGCTATATCCAGTTACTGCCGCGTAGAGAAAAAAATCGGTAAAATATTTTACTCAGAAATTCCCTTAATATAGAAATTGTAAAAACAGGGAACGCCTAAGCACTTACATTTTACGAACGTGACGAAGAACACCAAACGGAAATGAGAGTTCAGGTCGGATCAAAGAGGAAAATCAAGAAAATCCTTTTTCACCGTTATTGAATGATAATAATTATTGTCTGTTTTTAAAGTTGTCCAGTCACATAAATCATAAGGACGCTTTTTATTATTTATATTCAAGAAGGACCTTTTTTGATTAAATAAGATCCTTTTCAACACCATTTTGGTTTTTTAAAACTTATTTGGGATTTGTTATCTTTGACTTTTAATGATAAATTATTTTTTTTAAATTGCTCACCCTGTATATAACTGACCGGAAGTATAACTACTGGTTTTGAGCCAGAAAGAAACCTTATTTGTATACAAAATTTGAAGTTTTTCTCTAAAGCCGTTTTTGGGCTATCGCGCCAACAGACAGACGATGACAGACTGACGAAATGGGGAAACATGTTTTTCGTAATCTAGGGACCCTGAAACGTGAAAATTTGAAATTATCTCAGAGGGTGACTTTTTCACGATTACTTACAGTGCAACCTCTTTAATCCGGACACCTAATTGTCAGACCTTGTTCGGATTAATGAATATACAATAAAACACCTCTTACACATTTTTAGACTTTTAGATCTATGTATGTATTCGCTCCGTGCGAAGTCATGGAAAGGGAAGCAAAAGCGATACTAGCGCTAGCTGCGGATAATTCGTGCATTTTAGGGGGATATTTTGTAATTTTGGCATATCAAATACACGTATACATTTTACTTTTTTTCAAAAAAGTAGGTAAAAACAACACAATAAGCAACCGGAGTTGCTGTGTTGAAAATTGTACAAATACTAGCAAAAAAAAACAGTGAAACTTATATAACAAATTTCACTAACAAAGTGGAAATTAAATCAAAGAAATAAATGGATAGGTGTACAATAAGAAGAAAAATTACCTTTATTTTTGTGATAATAACAGTAATGCTGGAAATAGTAGACATCAGAAACTAGAAAGTTTTTAAATAAACAATAAATTATCATTTTACGATGTTCTTTAATATCCCTTTATTCTTAAATGTTCATTCAGCAAGGACTAGATTTCAAGATTTCTGCCGTTGATTATAATATTTGGCTGGTATGCAATTTTGTGACTTACTGATCGGAAACCAGTTTTAATCATTCATTCTATGTTTTCTTTAGAACAAAAATGAAAATATAAGTAGCGATCCTTTTTATACATTTTAACTTCACGCTATTATAAATGGTTTCTTCAATGACAACTTATTAGACTTAGGCAACTTCTCATACATTTTCCAGTAAATACTGTTGCCTGCCTATATTTTATTATTGATTTTTAATGATTATACATAATTTTCTTCAATTTAAGCGTGAAAAATATATAATAATAATAAATTAATGTTTTAATTGTTTTATAAATCCATATACTTTTAATAAAACTAACATATATACTTTTTTCTACACCCGTATTATAATAATGCACTTATATGCCCATAATCCGTTTCATAATGATACCCATTATGATACAGATTTTTCATTACGATACAGATTTTTAATCAATAGAAACCTACAATTTTTCAATCAAGCATGCTGTTTGACGTTTGTCCTAGGTTCCTATGTAATTATTTTAGTTGTCAAAACGTATTAAATTTTCGTAGGTAGCTAAACTTCGATAATTATAATATTAAAATGTCTGATATTAGCGATATAGAAGACTCCTCCACACATATCGGAGAAAGCAGAAAATACAGTACAAAATATTTTACCGCAAAAATCTAGGGAAATACCAATACCTGAAGTAATACCATTAATTACAATTTTGTAGAATTTTTTATAGAAATACGAGTAATTACTGTTATTGTGTTCAATACCAATATAAATATAATATTTATAGGTCTTGATTATTTATCGGGTGTAGAAAAAATAGCGTATGCAACTCTCATGTAATGGTTATTAAAACACTCGCATAAACCATACGAAACTCGCCTTTGGCTCGTTTCGTATCCCGGTTAATGCTCGTGTATTAATAACCATCAATCGTTGCATAATATACTATTTATTTACGAATTCTATTAAAAATTGTATTTGTCAGTATAGGCAGAAATACTCCTTTAATACCAAAACAAATTGGCGCTGCTGTCGCGCACGGAGCGAATATTCATTTTTGTACATTTAAATGCATTATCAAACTACATATGGGCGACGCGGGCCGCGCTGCAGGTCTTTTCCTGTCAGCGTTCGGATTACAGAGGCGGCGTTCGGACTATTTCGCATCAGGATTTGCGTTCGGATTAGCGTAATTCGGATTAGCGTGGGTTCGGATTATCGAGGTTGCACTGGTGCAACCTCGTTAATCCGAACACCTAATTGTCAGACCTTGTTCGGATTATCGAATTGTTCGGATTAACGAATATACAATAAAACACCTCTCACACATTTTTAGACCTTTAGATCTATGTATGTATATTGATGTTTGTACATTTAAATGCATTATCAAACTACATATGGGCGACGCGGGCCGCGCTGCAGGTTTTTTCCTGTCAGCGTTCGGATTACAGAGGCGGCGTTCGGACTATTTCGCATCAGGATTTGCGTTCGGATTAGCGTGGGTTCGGATTATCGAGGTTGCACTGGTGCAACCTCGTTAATCCGAACACCTAATTGTCAGACCTTGTTCGGATTATCGAATTGTTCGGATTAACGAATATACAATAAAACACCTCTCACACATTTTTAGACCTTTAGATCTATGTATGTATATTGATGTTTGTACATTTAAATGCATTATCAAACTACATATGGGCGACGCGGGCCGCGCTGCAGGTTTTTTCCTGTCAGCGTTCGGATTACAGAGGCGGCGTTCGGACTATTTCGCATCAGGATTAGCGTAATTCGGATTAGCGTGGGTTCGGATTATCGAGGTTGCACTGTACTTCCCTCTTATCGACGGAAGTAATAGTCCAGGATCCGTAAGTAAGGTCGAACTATACCCATCTGTTTAATGGATGAAAGTTTTTTTTATTAAATAAAATATGTTTTTAAATACACCGCAAATAGGTTTCCTAAGAAAATGCGATTACAGCCATTTTTTACTTTCCTTTCTGTGTACAGATAAAAAAAGTAAAGGAATCATGATGACAGTTTCTTGTGATGTCACTCTCTATTATTTTGTCTCTATACATGATTTCTCCAAAATTGACCTAATTCGAGATATTTGCGAGTGCAAATTTCGAATATTGAAGATACCTCAAAAACGGATGAAGCCAAAAACATCAAAATTTTAAACTTAGGCTTTAATCCATCCCCCGGTGAGCTGATTAAAGTTTGGGCATAGTCAAAAAGCATCTGGGGAATACTTTACAGGGTGTCGTTTTTTTTTACTTTAAGAAAATAAATAGTCTGGACCGTATTTTCTTAGGCAACCCGTTTGCGTTATATTTATAAACATATTTTATTTAATAAAAGGAAACTTTCATTCATTAAACAGATGGGTGAAGGTCGACCTCTACTTCAGATCTTAGACCATAAAAACAATAAATTGGTCCAATAATTACAGAATCTACTGTAATCCTGGTCAAATATCAATTGGGGACGATTAATTGTAAAAACTGTAAGACTTTTCCAAAATTCATTTAAATTATCTACGTTTTTTTTATGGAGAATTACTAGAAAAACTATTAATTTTTAAGTTGTGGAGTGACATTTTATATTTTTTATAGTTCAAATAAATATATAAATTACATTTTTTAGTTTTATTTATAAATTTGTATGAATAAGTTTATTTTGTTAAAAAAATTTGTCAACAAAAAATAATTTCAATAACTCATATAGTGACGCCTCCTTGAATATAGAGAGAGGAAGCATGAACAATGTTAGATGAAAAAGACGTATCTGTCAAAAGTACGATTTTTTCTAATTTGTGTTGTATTACATTTTGTAACATAAAAACAAATACCATCCATTAAATAAATGCATCATATTTTTGAAGAACCAGGATGGCCCAGAAAAAATATAAAAATCAATTTTTCTCATGTTCAAGTATTAAACAGATATGGTCATTTGAATTAACATGGCAGTATTGTAAGATATAAAATTTGTATAAGGATGAATGTATATGAGTGTTAAAAATTTTAACAGTATGATGAATATTTTGCGAGGGGCAAATCACTCCCGCAATACGTGTACAAAATGTCCGCAATCCCATTGAAAATCGCCGCAGTCTCATCAAAATCAGTGACAATCGCTAAGAAATCGCCGCAGTCGTTCCGAATTCGCTCGCAGTCGTTCCGAATTCCCTTGCAGTCCCCCGAATTCTCTAGCAGTCACTGAGCAATCACTAGCAATCGTTAAAAATCGCGCGCAGTAAGGTGACATTAACCAATTAGCCATTGTTGATGTAGGGTGCTTTGATTAAGCCATCTAAACCATTTTGTGTAAAGAAATTGCAGTTTACATTTATCGAAAGGGTCCTTCCGTGCATTTTGAGGCAAGAACTATTAAGTTAAATTTACATTTTGGAATTTGAAGGTTTTTTAGGATAAATTTAGACCCTAAATCTACTTGTATACAAGATTTTACAAGGTGGTCGAAAATTGTCCCTTTTCATCTAGTTTTTTTTTTTAATGTATTACAAAATTGTTGGTATTTTATGGGGGTTGGGGTGATACACGTTTTAATTAGGGTTTTAAATGTATTTTTACTTTCCTATCTGTTTACAGATAAGGAAAGTATAGGAATCATGATTTTTTTCGACCTCGAATTTTCGACGGTTTTTTATGTTTTGGGGTATCCTGAATCTGTTTTGACTATTTTCGCGATGATGTCTGTGTGTGTGTCTGTATCCTCGATAACTCATGAACGGATACAAACAAAAACACCAAATTTTAAACTTAAGCTTTATTCCGGCGTCCAATTAGCTGATTAGATTTTGGGCAGAGTCGGAACATTTGGAGGGTACTTTATAGTCATCATTTTTATATTTTATGGAATATATGTTATTTACGTTTGGAGAAGAAATTTTTTCAAATAAAAGTTACAATATTATTATCTATAATTTGTTCTATACAAAATTTGGTCCGTATTCGAGAAATTTGACAAAATGTAAAAAAAAATATATTTTTTTTTAAATTGTTCAAATAAAAGTTGTTTGTAATATAATTCTCTATAATTTTTGCCCTATACATAATTTCTCTAAAATGGACCGTATTCGAGATATTTAAGAAAATGTGTAAATTTCGAATTTTAAAGAAAAATCAAAAACGGATAAAGTAAAAAACATTAAATTTTAAACTTAAGTTTCCATATATGATGTAGATAATGAAAAGAGCATTTTTTATGGATTGGAAGATCTTAATATAAAGGATTTTCGAAATTACTACACAAAAAGTGATTCTGATACCTCATTTTTAAACATAATTGTGAACAACAAAAAAATGAAGGTAAAAAAATCAGCTCTTTGTTGGTTATTTTCCACTGAAGACGGGCGCTTGTCAACTGACAGATTATCTCGTGTAAAAGGAACATCCTCAGCAGTACTAAATAACAAAAAAAAAAACAAGTCCAGAAAAAACACAGCTAAAATACCAAATAACTACAATGACAAAGATGTAACAGAAAGTGAAAAAACTACCAGTGAAAACACTTTGCTCCAGAAAAATATCAATGGCATTTTAATTAGGAACGAACAATATTACACAATTCTTTAAGAGTCGTGGTACATAGGTCGGATTATTCAAATAATTGATGAAACCACTAGTAAAATAAAAATTTTAAAATCTGAACTTGAAGAATATTTATGGCCAAAAAAAGACGACATTCAAATTGTTAAAAATAAATTAATATTTTACAGACCCATCAATTCAATTGGATCTGGTCCATTTAAACTAGAAACAAACATCAATAAAATTCGTAAACGTCTAAAAAAACACTTTTATGAAATTTTTAAATAAAAAACCTCCAATTACTTAACTTGTTTTATTTACCTGTACCTATTTGTTCATTTAGGCATATCAAAGATATCTAATAATGGAGGCATGTAAGTACCTACATAGAAGTTTATATTTCAGGTATCACATCAATTAAAACTGATCTTTTGAATGAATAAAAAACGTACAAAAAGTTGATTTATTGATAAATTTGTCGTACACACTTAGTTTTAAATCAATGCATTGTATTTAGCACCTATACATGCGCTATACAAAATTTAGTTTTTCTGATGAAACACCTAGCTAATGCTTTTTTTACTGGAAACCAACTGGTAAGCCATACAATATCGTAGAAATCCTTCGGAATGCATGCAATTTTGCAATAATACTGACAATCCATACGTACGAGTAAATCGCCGCAATCAATAGGGAAATTGCCGCAATCAATAGAGAAATCGTTGCAGTCAATACATAAATCACCAAAGTCACGGGAAATCTGTCAGAAGTCATGTGGAAATCACCGCAGTCATCCAGAAATCGCCGCAGTCATCTAGAAATCGCCGCAGTCATCCAGAATTCGCCATATGATTGCGGAAATCATATGAATTCGGCAATACATGTACATTTTTACAAAGAGTGATTTGCCCCTCGATATTTTGTTTAGTTAAATGTTAGCAAACCAGCAGTTCAGACAATGAAAACATAAAGATAAAAAGTCAAAATCTTAAGTTTGATAAATGTGATATACACAATATGGCTTTGCAAAATTGACATGTGTGAAGATCAAATTGGTGGATTTGTAATGGACATTTCTTCATATCTGAAGGTTTCCATATCAACATGTACTTAATATTAAAACTGAATTTTCTTTACTCTCCTAGAATGTGTAAATATATTTTTTTGTAAAAATACCTATAATTAAAAGTGGTAATTAATTGTTTTAAAATCTATGTTAAATCAAGTGCTCGCCACTGAAATTGTCATAGGTCATGTACAGATCTAGGTCACCCATTTTGAACTGAAGCCCTTGGTGTAAAAAGGATGTAAGCCACAATTTGTCATGAAGTGACTGTTTTAGCTCAAAACATCTGTTAACAAGGATACTAACCAGATACAAATTTTATCTCCAATCTGAAAGATATTTTTCTTAATATTTCTATTAAAATAATTTGTTTCTTTATATTTGACAGATTTAAAACTTAATTTTCTCAAAACTTACTTAATGTAGCATGTAACCTTATTATGCCAAGGTCTTCAATTATTAGTGCATTGTAAAATATTTTAGTTTAAACAAGTTTACCTTGTCCGATTTGGCTTTCCTAGCAGATAAGTCAAAAGATTTCCACAATCGCCATCGTTTGTTGTGTTTAATAAAGTTTTAACGACGAAATTGTAGAATGATTCAAAGAGTGTAACAATTTTTTTGTGTTCTTTTACCAATTTGATCAAATATTGTCTATAATGGTAACCTGCGTGCTCAGAAATATGGTTGTTTATCCATTCTTGACTATAACTCAGTTCTGAAAATACAATATGACTCACATTGTTATAATGTGACCCTATATTTTCCATACACCTAAAAAAAATTGAATTTTGGTAGTTTTATTTTTAATCTAAAATAATTTAATTAAAAAGTACCATATTCGATGATTCCAACTATGATAATTATTTGGAGATTTTAAGGAAGCCATATCGGCAACTGAAAATTCAGTTTGCAAAATATTTAAAGGAACTTCCAAATTATTTGTAGCCATTTTATCCAAAACTCTGCTTAACAACCACCGTCTGTAGGCAAAGGCTTCATTAGATTTGCTCTTATGGCTCAAAACGATTTTACTGAAAATTATTAAAAGTGAATACCAAATTTATTATTCACTTTACAAAAATGTTAGTAATTTGCAGTCAAAGCCAGTTAAAATGCAATAATATAGTGTTCACATAGCAAATAAGAAAAATAATTCACATATAATTATCAAATTGGTTAGGCATATAAAACAGTAGACACTAATATACAGACAACCTATAAACAGAACTGTCAAAAAGTTTGTAGATCATTAAGATATTTAAGTGTAAGGAAGATAATAGTTTCAAAACATGTTTACCTATTAGTAATATTAAAAAACAATCTAGTTCAAAATACTCAAAAAAAACAGTACCTGAAATTTAATTCATCCTCTACTTTCAACACATCTCTTTCAACCAGTTCCCTCTTCATGTTCCAAAAGGTCCCCACATCTGGGTTGATTAATATAGCTCCAATGAGGAACTGATTCAGTTTTTCCATTTCAGAATAAGGTACTTTTCTTCGAGACAGTTGTAGTTTGTGTTCGAATAATACTGAACAGGCATATTGGTAGACATGTTTAATACACCACGATTCCAAGCCTAAGTTGTGTTCTAGATAAAGAACTGGGGATTTGTTTTTGGTATTATCTTCTGTAGGAATAATCGTAAATTCTTGCCTGAAAAGTGATAATCTCTCAGTAAAGGGTTATATTTAATTAACAGATTACTCACAGTTCATGGTCATTTTTAATAATACTTTCTATTGTACGTAAAATTCTACTGGACATGGCATTGCTTTCCGCCATTCTGAGTTTTTTGGAAGTTTATTGATAATTATTTAAATAAACCTCAACCAAATAGTTACTTATGAATCTTATGATGAAAAAAAGTCAACATCTTGGAAAGAATCAAAATGTCAATTTCTAAAAACGTCAGAATCAGAACTGTCAAATGTCATATACGAGCTTTCTTTTTGCTTACGGAGCTAAACTGAGAAAAAGCCAATGAAGTGGAGTGGGGTAGAATGATAACTGTCAATGAAAAAGTATAGACACATGCACAATTTCGTTTTGCACATTTTGTAAACAAGATTCAGGGACGGTTTCACAACATTTTGTGCAACAATTATAAAACAGTGCATGGGAAAATAATTAACAAGTATAATTTAATGCTAAATCGATATCAAAGAACAAATAATCACAAATATAAGCAAGATAACAAAGAATAAACGCCTAAAAAGCTTAAAACAGCCAAAACACAAACAAAAACTGAGCTGAACAACATAATCGCTGAACAAAGCCAATCCTGGAATTTGTTTACAGTGCTAGGGCAACCTCTCCTTGTCATTTACGTGTGTAAGAGTGGAAGGTTGAATCATGCATAATTTCTACACTCATGATAGATGCGCAGACGGTACCTTCCCAGACAACACACCAAATCCCAGAGATCCACAGAATATCTTTTGTGGATATCCAATATATCCACAGGATATCAGAATTATCCCGTGGATCTAATATGGATATCCAAATGTTCGTCTATATCCAGAATATAGAAGATATTCAAATGGATATCCAACAAAATATCTAATGGGTATCTTCCAGACAATACAAAAAATCCCAGAGATATCCACAGAATATATTTTATGGATATCCAATATGTGCAGTGGATCTAATATGGATATCCAAATGTCTATATCCCAGGTCCCAGGATATAGAAGATATTCGGATGTTCAGCAAAATATTTTATGGGTATTTTTAATAGAGGTTCATAAGTAACCAATGATTATTGAGTAACGTTAAAAGAAAGTAGCAGAGATAAAAAATATTTTCAACACTCAAAATATTTTCCACACTCTGCATTTAATTTTGCCCACTAAGGAAGGAGAAAGTCATCCTTATTAGAACTCTTGAACAATCAATGGAAATTCTCAACTCCAGTCTCTAATGGAGTTGATTGGGAAAACAATTTCGATCGAACTCAATTATGGCGGGTTGAGCATGAGTAGATATATATAATGGTATCGCCATCTATACTTAGTAAGCAAAATCAAAAATTACATCTAGTGGATATCCACCATGGTTTGCGTTCGCGTCTAGACTTTGATATAATAGGTTCTTTCGTTCGTCCCACTGGTGTAGGAATGAACTACACCAACGCACACCAAACCTTTCGTTTAGCCCGGTGTAAAATCCACTATACCTTCCTGTCGGCGATGTGGTGTCCACTGGTGGATATTTTCTCCACAAGCTATATATCAGGAGTGAATTACACTCGACATGTGTATAAGGAATAAGGAGGAAGTAAACTAGGTGAAATAAGGTGGTGTAACTGGTGTAATTTACACTGGTGGACACTGCACCAACAGCGAACGAAAGAACCTATTTAGTGGATGTCCATGGGATATTGAATACACCTTAAAAAAATAATTTTAAATATCTGAACGGTACTATTAAGCCACCATGGCGAGCACAATGGCGTAATTTTTTAATAATTTGCTATATAATTACTATTATTTATGGACAATTGCATGTCTATAAATTACATTTCATGAATATAAAATAGATATACACCATGGACTGGACATTCAGTGAAGAGTGGGATGTTTAGTAGATATCCAAATGATTTGGTGTGCTGTCTGGGTTATTGTTTTACCCTCTCTACTTCTTTGGAAAGAGCTCGAAGATCTTCATACCTAGATTATCGATTAACAAAGGAAAGTGATCAGATTTGATGATTTGTCCTAAAATTAAAATGGAAATCATCGCTAGATGACCAGGAGCGCGTTCAGGAAACACGCTCCGACCAAAAAGAGCGTGCTCAATTTACTCTTGGTTCGTTCAGGAACAGTAGAGCGTTCAATTTGAACATTTAGCTACTCTCGTTCTGAAAGTCGAGTCAAATTAGTCTAGAGTGCACTCTTTTTTACCCAGTTTGGACAGGGTTAATTTGAGTAAATTTGCCAGAACGTAAAGTTCTTTTGCAGAAGTTGTTATTTCATATCATTTTTGTGTGTCATAAATGGTTATAAAGGTGTGTCATAAATGGTCATAAAGGTGTTTGTTCATGGAATTTTATAAAGTTGCGTTTGTTTTAAAATAAATAATCTAAAATTTCTTGTCTTATTGACTTTATAGATTTTTCATTATAAACTTGATTATAAACCCAGACAGCACACCAAATCCTCTGGATATCTACTAAACATCCCAATATCCACTGAATGTCCCGTCCATGGTGTATATCTATTTTATATCCATGAGATGTAATTTATAGACATGCAAATGTTCATAAATAATAGTAATTACCTATATAGCAAATTATTAAAAAACTACGCCATTGTGCTCGCCATTGTGGCTAATAGTACCGTTCATATATTTAAAATTAATTTTTTTAAGGTGTATTCAATATCCCGTGGACATTCACTTAGTATATCAAAGTCTAGGCGCGAACGCAAACCATGGTGGATATATATGCTACGTTTGAAAAGTACCTCACGGAGCGGAGTAGAGCTAGTAGATTTTTTAGTCACGTGATCATCGAGCAAATCAAGCTTATGTGGAATAAAAGAACGGCTATGGATTTGTTTGTGTTTCCCGTATCCGGTTTTCATTAAAATAACAAACGTAAACCTTTCTTTTAAATCAAATTTGATCTCTAGTCTCGTGGTTTTTGTTGCAATAAGTTGCAAAGTAAAGTTAATTTTTAGCTGTGGTATTTTTGCTTCCACAAGAAAATAAACCATGTTCTCACTTGTCTAACATTTTTTATAAATATTTTTTTTAATAACCAAACACTTGAAAAAGAATTAACTGCAACACAAGAAACAACGAACGATGTCTGTAGGCGAGTTCGGTCAGTCAGGGGCTGGAGCGGGACAAATTTTAGGGTGCTTTTAAATGACATTTAAGCGTGTTAAACTGTCACTAATCGGACTAAACCGAACGCTAAAAGAGTCGTTTGGAGTTAAAAGTGTTAAAGGAGTTAAAGGAACGTGGCAAACCGAACGCAATGTGTACATCTTAGAAAAGTGCATCTATTTTGTCAATTGTCACAGAAATTACATTTACTCCGAAAACTCTAAAATGAAATTCGGAGTAAATAGATCTTATTCGATTTACCAGCTCTGCATTAAAAGACCACGGAGCAGATCCCATCGAGAAGCCGCAGATGTATTAAAAGAACCGCTTCGAGTAAAAAGAGCAAAACGAGGTAGTTTTCAAACGCAGCACCACTAGATGCAATTTTTGATTTTGCTTACTAAGTATAGATGGCGATACCATTATATATCTACTCATGCTCAACCCGCCGTAATTGAGTTCGATCGAAATTGTTTTCCCAATCAGCTTCCATTAGAGACTGGAGTCGAGAATTTCCATTTATTGCTGAAGAGTCCTAATAAGGATGACTTTCTCCTTAGTGGGCAAAATCAAATGCAGAGTGTGGAAAATATTTTGAATGTTGAAAATATTTTTTATCTCTGCTATTTTCTTTCGACGTTATTCAATAATCATTATGAACCTCTATTAAAGATACCCATAAAATATTTTGCTGAATATCCGAATATCTTCTATATCCTGGGATCTGGGATATAGACATTTGGATATCCATATTAGATCCACTGCATATATTGGATATCCATAAAATATATTCTGTGGATATCTCTGGGATTTCTTGTATTGTCTGGAAGAGATACCCATTATATATTTTGCTGGATATCCATTTGATTATCTTCTATATATTCTGGATATAGAAGGACATTTGGATATCCATATTAGATCCACGGGATAATTCTGATATCCTGTGGATATATATTGGATATCCACAAAAGATATTCTGTGGATATCTCTGGGATTTGGTGTGTTGTCTGGGAATAGGGCCGTGAATAGGTAAATATTGAAATAAAAAACAGCTAAAAAAGTAAATGAGTAAAAAGTAAAATTACACGAGACACGAGTAGTAACATGAAGCGAGGAACATCGAACAATATAAAATGTAAACAAATAAATGTAAAAAACTTCAATTTTCAAATACGTTGACGTTTACTTTCGTTGCAGTTCAGAAATGCTGGACCAATGAGAATTACTCTAGAGTAACCTGTGCAAACGATCTAAGAAAATTAGTCTACTCCCGTATAAAATCATCTGAACGCGCTCCAGTGGAAAGTTGAAAAGTTTTACGCGACGCATAATTTTTGATATTCAACTGTTCCACTGGATCTCGGACGGTTTGCAGTACATTTTGAAGAAACCAGAAAAAAGCCTATCACTTGACTAACGACATGCTATCGTTTTTGGAGATAAGGATGTTATCTAATAGTAAAATATTATGTAAGTTACCTTGGAAAAAAATGCAGAATGCGTGGAATCGGTCCCTAATAAGATAAAGCTAAATGCAAATTTGGCACTTAGGGCCGATTCCACCGTTGTATTAAATAAAGTTTAAATTACTAAGCGAAGTTTAAAATGATATTTTTACGTTAACAATATCATTTTAAACTTCATTGTTAATGTAAAAATGTAATTTTAATCTTCTTTTAGTAATTTAAACTTCTTTTAACACAACGGTGGAATCGGCCCTAACGTTCTAACACAATAATGAACATTGCAAATAGCACATTCAATACCTACTACATTTAGTTACAAAATCTTGGTACTTAATTGATCCAATTCTGATGTTATCTATCAGAAATCGATCCAAGGATATAAAATCCAGTCTAGTTATAAAAAGATCTTTGAAAAAATGTGTACGTTAAATCGATTTACGAAAATCAGGCTGCCAACATGTGAAAAACTCTATTTTACTAAATTTGGCAACATTGCAATTTCATTGATTTGTGACATTTCTTTAAGCAGCGATCACATGTCTAACGTTTTAAACTATCTATCTTACTTTTAGTTTCGGAAAAGTATCACGTTTTCTCTTGCGACTTTATAAGCGGCGATCAAGATTGGTCAATTTGTTCACACCCGTTTTAGGCAGTTTCAAGAACTACTCATGGATAAAGGGATATATGATTTTTTAACAAAAATGTCAAAATCTAGGTCTGTGATTCCTGTCACATAAATCTAATCTACGTCATTTGTTAATGAAATTGATACACAAACAAACCTCTATGCCACAGATACCAATAAATTATTTAAATTGTTAATAAAGGCCAGAGTGAGATATACATAAAACAGTAGCTTTTATACCAGTCATATGAATACAAATTAACCTGTGTTTATCTAAAAAGGCGAATCTTTCCCGATTGTTAACGTTTTTAACCACATGTAGAGAGCCATCAAAGATCTATAATTAGGTTGATGTAAGCGTTGACATTTGCATTAATGAAGATTTATCCCAAAAAGCGTGTGTACCATGGAGAAATTGCGGGATGTTTAAGTAAAACATGTCCTTAACCATTCTATTGGAAATTGGGCACGATGCCTCTTTGAAATCAAAAATATCACCAGAGGGATTTACACATGATTGGGAAGTCTTCGTAAAAGGACAAAACAGCGCAGAGATTCATTATTATGTAGAAAGAGTTGTTTTTCATTTGCATGAGACTTTTCCGAAACCAAAGCGAGGTACAGCCAAAATCGTTATTGTATTAAGATATACCTTTTTAAAATTAGCCAAACATGACTAGAGATTTCAATATGTATCTTCTGTAACCACGATTGTATAACAAACATTTTATGTGTATTTTAGTTGTAAAAGAGCCACCTTATTCGTTAAGGACCTCAGGTTATGCAGGTTTTAAGTTACCCATTGAAATTTATTTGAAAAATAATCAAGAGCCTAAGAGAATTAAGTTTAATTATGATTTGCATCTTCAACCTAATGGTCCACCAATTCATATAGTACAAAAAGAAAAGTACACATTCTTTAATCCATCTGAAGAGTTTAGGAGTAGACTTTTGAAAGGAGGAGCAGTAGTAAGTACCTAGTTGATTGACTAATTAGTGAATAAGAAGGGATATGTAGTTTTACTGGTAATCTTGTAGTTGAAGTGTCTGGGAATGCACCTGTCCACACCATTCCTGTTCTAGCTAGTTCTGACAGTTGGAATCATTTATATAAATGCCAGGTTATATTTATTTGGAACCAGGGAATAAACATATTGAAATAACTATTTTATTTTTAATTATATATTTACCAATTTTTACATTGATTAAAAATCTCATAAACATATTTTTTTTTAGATTTTCAAGTAATATGATTGTTATTTTTAATGTCAATAATACCTTTCAATATTGATAATTACAAAATTCAAATTCTAGACGTCATTGCAGAGTGGTGTAAATATGAGCATTTCTAGACCCATCAACTACAAGATTACCGTTTTACTTTAGTTGTATTTAACTTTTTTAATGATACAAATAACTCCACAATATTATTATTATAATAATTATTATTATTGTATCATCTATAGCAATGTTTTAAATTTTTTTTATTGCAGTTACTGATTTAATTTTAATTTATTCCTGATTTTCATTTATACTTTTCTAGCTCTCTTTCATCGGGTTGCTGCTATTTTAGATTCAATGGCTGTTTTTTTAAATACTTTTCTGTTATAATATGTAATATATAATATACGAGGGTGGATCTGTATGCTGCACCCCTGACCCCCTTACAATAAAACTAAGGTGGCATTATATTTTTATTTTTGACATAGTCTCCCTCTGAACTAATGCACTTGGTCTATTGATTCGAATCAACAATCTAACATATTCGAATCAACAATCTAACATATTCGAATCAACATTGTGAAGGTGAAAGGTTATAAATGTTTAAGCTATTATTAAATGTGCCATTTTAGTGGTAAATCACTTAAACAAATTCAATAAAGTGATATCAATTTAAAGTGTGAATTCTGGGGATTAAGGTGTTATAATGGGTTTAGTTCATTAACCTTTTTTTAAGTTTGATATTAGATAATTTTGAACCTACATAATATATAAATTATTAATCAATATTCAGTTAATTGACCCACATCAAAAAAGTAAAGACAAAAACTTCGAACTGTTGATAATAATATAAACACATTAGTTTTTAGTTTTAATAGGGGTCCGAGATTTGTTTTTTACAATGTCAAAGTGCACTAAATGTAAAAAAGAGTTAGTGGTGGATAAGTCCTCATTTAAGTGTGCTGGGTGCAAAAAACGGAGACATATATCTTGTGCAAATGTGACTTCCACTGAAGTTAGACGTCTGCAATTGTCACAAGATACCTGCAAGCTCAAATTCTTGTGTGAACATTGTGAAGAAAATCCTATGCAGCAATTATCTGAACTTAAAAGTATTATACTGAACATGCAAGAGGATTTTGTCAAATTCAGGACGTCAAATGAAAAAGCATTGCAAGATAAAAACACCGAAATTCAGGAACTTAGGAAATAATTAGTAGATTTAAAAAAACAGAAACATAATATGAATATGGAGGAAATGTTAAGTGAAATACAATTGGGAACAGAAAAAAACGAATAACTTAATGTAACATTGATGATGATGGAAATAAAATAATGGAGGTGTTAGGGAATTTAAACAAATATGAAAAAGCAAAGGAAGTTGTAAGAGTTCTGCTTGTTGGTAAATCATTGTGATCAAGATCAAGACCAATCAAAGTAGTTTTTTCCAAATAGAAATGCTGTTCTTGAGATATTAAAGAACAAGAAAAAATAGAAAATTCTAATATTAAGATAAATAATGATCAAATGAAGATGCGAGATTTATTTAACATAGTGAGAACATAGCTTGAGGAAAGAAGAACTAAGGGAGAACAAGATATTAGAATTCAGTTTAAAAACAGCATTCCAAAAATTGTTAAAAATACAACTAAAAAAACTGATTTTATCCTTCCCTCGTATACATTTTTTAGGTGTGATAGAGAGACATAATCAAGCAGCAAAGGTCGTGGTGTAGGTGTAATTATAATTATAAAGTCGATTCTAAATCCAGTGGAGTTGAGAGTAATTTATAACGATATGAAACATTTATTTGTATTATGTTAGGACAAAAATCATTTATCATTGGAGGTGCCTATCTCCCACCAAATTCTACTGAATTAAAATATGAGAATCATTGTAATACTGTCATTGATATAATGAAAAATGTGACATTATGATATTTGGAGATTACAATCTGCCAGAGACAATGTGGTCAAATGATGATTCTGGTGTTTTAGTTAACTTTCCTCAAGGTTCACATTCTTTATTATTGGCTCAACATTTTTCATTTTTAATTTAATTTCAAAAAATATACCTAATGTTCCTAAAGTGGCGCTGGGAAACAGTAACAAAGCCTACACAGAACACGAGGCTAATGACCTTAGCAGTCGATGCCGATGACACCAAATTAAAAAAAAATAGAAATGCACTGTTAGATTGACTTTTTGATTGATTTGGAAGTAGTTTTGTCAACTGATCCATTATTTGATAGTAGCATCTACCATGTAAGTTACTCAGTAACTCCCATTTACTTGGTTCTTAACAATTACTTTGCAGCTATTCATTGGAAGAATATACTGTGCTATAATGATATAAATATTGCCTCCAATGAGTTCTATCATATCGTAGACATGGGTGTGAAAGTATCCTACACATACAAAGTTTAAAAACAAATAGTGCACCATTTTCACTAGTACACATAATAAATTTGATTTTTGTCCAAGGTCAAGTGCCAGATGAACTTAAACCGTTAGTTCTAACACCTCTTCACAAACAAAAGAATAAAAGTTTTTCTTATAAACTATATGTCGTGTCGTCTACACTTGATAGTTATTTATTTATTAATTATGTTATTAGTTTATACCTTTTATACTTGGATACTACCTGATACTTGTTTCACGGATAATGATATTAGTTTGTTGTTAAAAAAAAGAGGTGATTTAGTAATTTTGACAATATAAAAAAAGTAAAAAGTCAGAACTCACAAAAAGCCTTTTATTTCTAAAAGAAGCGACGATACAAAACATTTTGGTGACCCCGACGTACCTATGGATAGACCACGCAGAGATGGTGCTGGACAAAACAGAAATTTATCAGCAGACTTCGTCTGGCCTGAAAACCTTGGCAGATCGAACTATGCAGGAGAAATAAATCTCGAGATTGGAAGCGCTACCAGCGTGGAGGTACCTCATAAGAGTACGAAAACAATTGCCTCTAAAAAAAGTACTTCCGATATAAGTATTCAGAGAAAGAGACTAGAAATAGAAAAAGAAATAAAGAAACAAGAATTAGAATCGAAAAAACGGGAAATTGAACATAATTTAAAAATTTTGGAACTTGAGCATGACTTAAAAGATGCTGAGCTTCAAGTCGAAGAAGAGAAATCTCAAAAAAGTTATAAATCGAAATTACCAGACTTGCCGACTGCTAAATCCAAAACAACAGTAGCTGATTGGTTAAATCATCAACAAGACGTATCATCGATTCCGGAGATTTTCAATGAGCAAACAAAAAATTTAACTCCGAATAACGATATAAAATACTTGTGCGAAGAATTAACAAAGGCAATAACACAAACAAATACAAATTCTTGTACAGAAAAATTTATTGCTCGACAAGTAATTGACAAAGATTTTTACTATTTCGATGGTAAACCGGAAGACTGGCCATTATTTTACAATCAGCTAAGAAATGTTATATCTTTGGGGCAGTACAACCAGGAAGAAATAATGATTAAATTACAAAAGTACCTAAAAGGTGAAGCGAAATCAGCAGTTGCTGGAATGATGTTAGCTGCAAGTAACGTTGATCTAGTAATAGAAACTTTAAAAATGAGATTTGGCAGGCCAGAACAAATTATTGACAAATTAATTACAAATATAAAGTATATTCCTTTTATAAAAGAAAATAATCTTGAAAAGCTAATACTTTTTTCGAATGAAGTTGCCAATTTAGTAGCCACAATGAAAACTTTAAAATCTTTTGGGCACATGGCGAATCCTCGATTGCTTAGAGAACTATTGTCTAAACTACCTGACATGTTAAAATTGAAATGGGGACAAGTAGTAGCAACGAGGGATGGAGATGTTGATTTAGAAGACTTCAGCAGATGGATAACAGACCTAGCCAAGGCAACAAGTTATATCGTTACATCGAGCTGGGAGAAGACAGAAAAGAGTAGTTTCAAAGCTTATGTCTCAAAGCCGAAAACAGAACGAGTCCTTAGTACTACTCGGTCTTCAGAGACTAACCAGAATAAGTGCAGTTACTGCGATGGTGAAATACATGAGGCAGAATGTCCACGAATGAAAGCAGACGATATAGAGTCACGTTGGAAAGTGGTGACTGAAAAAAAAATATGCTTTTGTTGTTTAAAGAAAAACCACCATAAGACGAAATGCAGAAGCAGAATATCCTGTGGTATTGATAATTGCAGAGCCTTACATCACCCGCTTCTCCATAAGTTAAAAGTTGAACCCGAAAATTCCATACGGAACGAGTCCTTACCTGCAGTTGTTAACAGCCTATATACAGTCAAGCACAAAGCCAATAACATCCTTCTAAGAATAGTACCAGTAAACTTGTACGGCCCAGGGGGAAACATGCGTGTTTTGGCACTTTGTGATGAAGCATCGACAGTTACGCTGGTAGACAGTAGAATAGTAGTTAAACTGGGATTAGTTGGAGAGCCTCAAGAGCTTTATCTACAGTGGACAAATGAAGTAACATCTAAACTACAAAATTCACGATGCCTAGACATGAATATATCAAATCGTGAGGCGAATAAGAAGAAATATCTACTGAAGAAAGTACACACAGTAGATAACTTAGCACTACCTTCACAGACAATCAAATTAGAAAGTTTGAGACATCATGAACATCTTAAACGAATAACTACAGAAGACATATCCGGAGAACAACCGATGCTGTTGATTGGCCAAGATAACATTCATTTAATAATACCAGAGCAAGTTTTAAGCGGACCAGAA